GTTTATTTAAGCTCCACTATTGGTAGTAATTTGTGTGGTTGTTCTTTTCTGTGTCTATCAATCAATTCCTTCTTTTGATCTTTAAGAGTATCCTCCAGGAGAGGAGGAGGACGGCACAATGGTGGTATTCCAGTATAAATCCCAATATATTCAAGTGATGGATGGATGAAGTTAGTTTCATATAAATGCTGTACTAGTTCTATCCAGTTAGGTTGAGATGATGCTTTATTAATATTTCTACACTCTATCCACAGTAGTCTGATGGTTGTATGTGACTGTAACATGCTAATAACTGCAGGTAGTACCTGGTTCATAAAACAATGGTGTCATTATTTGTTTCTTCTCTTCCTCACTACAGTTACTGCATGATTGATCTGATTTGAAGGTTACTCTAAGTTCTGTGAGATTGTTTTTTTGAGAGATGACAATAAAAAAAGCTCTTATCTCTTCATTCAGTGGAATGGATACACTCAACTGCTGTAGACTGGTGTTGTGTCTGAGACCACTTGTTAGGAAGTACAGGAATAAACTGGGAATGGGAATGTATTTATCCCAATCAATTTCAATGTATTTTAGTGTTTTGTTTTGTGCTAGCATATTTTTTAAACTAGTACCCATACTGCGGGTACATACTCTCTCCTCCTTTATCTCCACACTCAGAGCTTTAAGTGTAGTATTGGTTTGTAGAATAGTAAATAGTTCAATAGCACTCTCAGCTGTGTCTAGTGGTAAAGTAAGTGTATGTAGACTGGGATGAGAGAGAAATAGAAGATGTGGTGGGCATGAATCAGGTAGTATCAGACAGTGTAATCTTTTGATATGTGGAAGGAGTGATAATGTCATCAGTTTACTACTCTGTCCTCCTATCTCTAGAGCAGTCAGAGGTGTGTTCACTTCTACTATATTCAGTGATGATGGTAGGAGGTAATCAGGTATGTTCAGTGAAAGAGCTTGTAATGCATTGTTATCCTTTAATAACTGCTCTATTACTCCATTAGGTATTTATAGGTGAGGAGTATCAACATGCATTGTTAATGATGTTATTGTTTTATTTCTTGTTACTCCTCTAATGACACTGATAATGATACTTGTTATTCCATTCTTTCCAGTATATTCAATCTTCATTTCCTTTAGTGATGAATTCATTTCTATAC